CTGGCGAACCAGAGCAGTGCACGGAAACGCCGTTTACCCTCCGCCAGAGCAGTATCTATTTATCTACTTGCACTTTGTGCTTTCGAAGTGCTAGGTTGGCAGGAGCTGGGACTAAGCAACGGGAGCTCACCCCGTCACGGGGATTTGAACCGCTGACCTTCTGATCGGCAAGCCCTAGGCTCTGTGGTTTAACCCACAGCGCCACCCGCGTCCCACATAGCCATCATGCCTAGCAGCCATCAATTAGACAGGTGCTGACCCTGGGCCACCCCACTTTCACTTTCCCCCAGGATAATGAGGAACCATTAATGAGTACTCTTTGGGTTCAGTCAGTCAACCAGCTATAAATCCACCTAACAGTTACCTCATTCAACCCACATTTTGCCAGCTTCCTTGTGAGAATATCATGGGGGACTTTATCAAAAGCCTTCCTGAAATCAAGATACACTACAGTGGTACCTCGGGTTACATACGCTTCAGGTTACAGACGCTTCAGGTTACAGACTCCGCTAACCCAGAAATAGTACCTCGGGTTAAGAACTTTGCTTCAGAATGAGAACAGAAATCACTCAGTGGCGGCACAGCAGCAGCAGGAGGCCCAATTAGCTAATGTGGTGCTTCAGGTTAAGAACAGTTTCAGGTTAAGAATGGACCTCTGGAACGAATTAAGGACATAACCAGAGGTACCACTGTATAGCCACAGAATCACCCTGATCCACCAAGCTTGTAAATCCATTGGAAAAAGAAATGAGATTTGTCTGGCATAGCTTGTTTTTGAGAAACCCGTGATGGATCTTTGTAATCACAGCATCCTTTTCTAAGTCTTCACAGACTGAATGTTTTCTCATTTGTTCTATGCCCTTTCCTGGTATCGACCGGTCAGTAAGCTACCTGGGTCTTCTTTCCCCCCTTTTTGAAGATGGGGACAACATTTGCTCTACTCCAGTCTGCAGTGACCTCAGAATTCTCGAACATTATAGACAGAAACTCCTTAGTACCCTTGGGTGCTGATCTCCATTGTTCCTACTCATGGATCCCGAAGATGGTGACATTAGAATGTTTGAGGTAAGGATATCTTCTGTATGTATAGCTCTTATTTGATCAAGCACTGTGTTTGTCTCAAAAAGTTACCTTGCAGCTGGGCTGCCAACTGACTAGAAGAATGGCTTGGCCTGCTCTTGAATTTTAAAGTAAGTAAAATGAAAGTGAAAATCAGTAGAATAAGCTTTCACAGCATGCAATGGAGATAAACATCACCTGTTAATGTCTGCACATAGGGATGGAATCAGAATCCAATTTAAACTGATTCATACATTCATTTTTCCCCACATGAGACTGCCTCTTGCACTGAGTGGCCACCTAGGTTCAAGCCATCTGTGCATTGTCATTTTTTCTTTAAAGCACAACCAAATACATCCAAAAAAATACATGTGTTTTATGTATAACTTGAGGCTTTGCCCACTCCACATTAACCCCTAGAGTTTCCTCTTCTCATCCTATGCAACTACTAAGATCAGTTTTTGCCTTCCCAACCTCATTTCTGCATGCAAATCCAGGATAGTGATACGGCACTACAAATCCTCCTGTGCAAGCTGCGTGATGACAGCCTTACATTTCAATGTGTATAGGAAGATATGTATAGAAAAGTCAACTCTCATGCAGTACTACTTTTCTGCAGCATAATTTATAAATATACATTATTTTTTACATTACACATTGTTGTACATATCTGCTTTTGTACCTGGTTACTCTAGGAAACCTGAATCATGTACAGTGGTGCCCCGCAAGACGAATGCCTCGCAAGACGGAAAACCCGCTAGACGAAAGGGTTTTCCGTTTTCAATGCGCTTCGCAGGACGAATTTCCCTATGGGCTTGCTTCGCAAGATGAAAATGTCTTGCGAGTCTTGAGATTTTTTTCGCTCCCCCCCCCCTTTTTCTAAGCCGCTAAGCCTTTAATAGCCTTTTAGCCGCTAAGCCGCTAAGCCTTTAATAGCCGCTAAACCGCTAATAGCGCTAATCCGCTAAGCCGCTAATAGGGTTGCTTCGCAAGACGAAAAAACCGCTAGACGAAGATACTCACGGAACGGATTAATTTCGTCTTGCGAGGCACCACTGTAAATATCAGGGATATAATAGTGCATAAAATTTGCAAGCATTTTTCACAACTTCAGCAGAACTGGTAAAAAAATATATTGCTTCTCACTGCAATCAAACTGTGAGAGGGGAATTAGGAAAAAAACCTGTGCAGATAAACACAACCTAAGATTTTCAGAAAAATCCATCCCTATCTGCTCCTCATGCTGCTGTTAAGACACAGGAGCATGGGTGGATTCAGCAGTTGCTGACCCTTCCTGACACTTTTTGAAGAATTTTAAAATATATATTTTTTAATCCAGTTCATCCCATCTACCAGAGGAACCTTCAATTCCTTCTGATTTATTGCCAACTCCTCCCAGATAGAACAATGTGTGCAAAATTGTCTCCCAACTTTAATAAATTGCCTGCTCATTATAAACTAAGAGCACACACACACACACACACACACACACACACGTTGAATTGGATATTTGTTTTGGGGAATCTGTGTTAGTCCATTGTGGCCAATGGTCAAACTTCCCTCCAACGAAAACATTGGGCCGCATGTTTTTCATTAAAATTAGCTGTGGGCCTCCAATGCAAACATTTAATGAGGCTTGCCAAAAAATGAACACCTAAACAAGCTGGGGCTTGCATACTGGCCCTGATCCTGCAGGGAATTAGTGGGAAATAATTCTATTTATTTATCCCCTAATTTTGTTTATGAGCTGGCTTGCCTTGGTTGCAATGTTATTGTCAGCATTTTATACCTAAAGCGGCATGGAGCTCTTTGCTATTTTCCCATGTTGCTTGAATTAGGAAAACTGGCAGCAAGCATATAAGCGTTATAAATGAAACAAAATAGAGGAATAGTTGGTGGTTTTCTTTCTGGGGTCAAGATCTCTCTTGCTGCTCTTAACTGAACTTATAATTTGAATGGTAGACTATCTGTCACACAACACACACACACACACACACACGCACACACAAAATATATATGTGAAATTCAGTCTTCTCCCAACACATACAAATATTCCCCCCTCCCTCCCTTTTTCTTAGTCTTAGGTTGCCCACCTTGCCATTTCACACTGCCTATTCAGTACACCTCCTTTGGCCACTTTGTTTGCAAGTTCCCTACCTCCTTGAGCCTTTTCCTAGTCCTCAACCTACTCCACAAAGCTACTCCTCTCTGTAAGGCCATTCTCAAAAAAAACAAAACCTCTCTGTGTGTGTGTGTGAGAGAGAGAGAATGTGTGTTTGTGAGTGAGAATGTGTATAACCCCTACGCTTATACAGTAAGGTGAACTGCAAGCATCCTGACACTTTTGCTCCCTGAGAAGTTGGAATGTGTGTGAACATTCCGTGTCATCACATCAGCTCAGCCAATTGGTGCCCAAAACTTTGCCACTATAAACTCAGCAAAAAATGAGTAGTCTGCATCCAGCCAGAGTTTTGGCTGTTAAATTCCAATATGCACACACATAGCAACTCCTTATCCCCTGGTGAAATATACTCAGAGTCGAGAGTGGATTTCATGCTCTTTATTCAGCTCATAGTGGTGAGGAGGGAATGTAAGTCCCCTCAAAGTATCTGCTTTATATACATTATTTACACAATGGGCTGCACGTGATTGGCTAATTCCGGAATTCTCCTGTAGGCCAATCAGGTTGTAGATTCACTTCTATCTGGAGCTGGATTGGGTGGCTCCTGCCAACCAATCATACTGCTGCATTGTTCTAGGACCAATCAGACTGCTGCATTCTGAGTCCTATTGTTCTAGGACTAATCAGACTGCTGCAGTTTGGAGCCTATTGTTCTAGGACCAATCAGACTGCTGCAGTTTGGATCCTATTCAACTCAGTACATAACACCTCGTCAGCTCCTGATCAGCCAACTGTTAGAGATTCTCTTTTCCTAACCTGAGCTTTTTTGTTTCTCAATCCTTGATGACGGCTGCCTCTCTCTGGTACCCACTTATCTCTCTCATTCACCTTCTACCACTTCTCTCATTCATATTGCCTGCCCACCTCTATCTCCTTCTGCATATGACTCAAGATAACGCTTTCTGAAATCTTTGTAATAATAATAATAATAATAATAATAATAATAATAATTTATTTATAGCCCACCCTTTCGGGTTCAAAAGCCTGGCTCAGGGCGGCAAACAACAAATTTAAAACACTTTAAAACTCTTAATTATAAAAGCAGCATAAAATACAGTATAAAAACATGAATAACAATAAAATTCAAAAATCAAAAATCAATTAGATAATCCCCAGGGCTAGCTGGCTGAATTGGTCCTACTTGGGCCAGCGAGGATGCCTTGGGAGAATTAGCTGTGGGGTCTCAGAGCGGGTGATCTTCATAAAAGGGGAGGGGGAGGGAAGAGAAGGTAAATAAAAGATCAGGAGGTTAAATCCCGAAGGGCCCTAGTCTCATGGGACAGAGCATTCCACCAGGTCGGGGCCATCACTGGAAAGGCCCTGTCCCTGGTGGAATATAGTCTGACTTCCTTAGGGCCCAGGACCTCTAAACTATGGTTATTCATGGACCTTAAGGTCCTCTCTGGGGCATACCAGGAGAGGCGGTCCTGTAGATACAAGGGCCCTAATCCACAAAGGGCTTTAAAGGTCAAGACCAGCACCTTGAACCTGACCCTATACTCCACCGGGAGCCAGTGCAACTGGTAATGCACTGGGTGAATATGCTCCCATGGCAGGGACCCTGTGAGGAGCCTCACTGCAGCATTCTGCACCCACTGGAGTTTGTGGGACAGTTTCAAGCAGGGACACCCCAGCAGAAATGATTTGGTTTGTTTTTTCATAACACAGAGTGGCCGTCTATTCACTGACTGTAAAAAAGATCAGGAAAAGGCATTAAACAAAACCACATATAGTGATTTTATCTATTTGAAGGTTTAAACTGAAATAAAGCTAGATTTAAGCTCTGGTATCTTCTCTCTCTTACATCATGGAAGTCAGCTGATAGGAAATATGTTCTGCATTATTTTATTAATACTATCGCTACAAATTTGTCATGGTCATTGCTAGAACAATAAACCTATGAATTGTATTAACTCGGTATCCCAGACACTGGGTTTAGGGCTGGCAGACTTCCAGGGCTGACCTGAAATCTTCAGGTTTCCCTCACTTCCTCCAGGTCTCAGATGGAGATCTTGAATTTCTATGTGAGTGAGAGTACCTATCTGTCTTTCTATCTACTGTGATGGCAGTTTGCAAACTTTAGACACCTCTGATCCCTCCTCCCTGCTCCCAATTAACTTCCATCTCCAGGACTCAGTGGTTAGAGGGACACAGAGGAAGAAACAGAACTGGGCTGGACTGAAGAGGAGGAGGGGATTTGTGAGAACATTTTGAGTGTGCATGTGCAACTGGCACAAGATATAAGAATGCAGACACAACATGTTGTGCTTAATGACCATGGGGCCACACCTAGGTCTCAGGTTGGGGGCCTGAAATCTCAGGTTCTGGGATGCAACCCTGATTTGGCAATCCTAAATGGGGCCAACCAATGATTTGACACAGATAAAAATGGGACTGCTTCACACATTCCTTAGTTAAACTATGGAATTTGCTTGCAGCCATCAACTTGGGTGGATCGTGAGACAAATTCATGGATAAGGCTGCCAATAGCCACTAGCTACACTGTCTGTGTTCCATCTCCGTTGGGAATCACAAGTGATATTTATTCCATTTTATGCTCACATCTGCCCTGTGAGGTAGGATATGCCGAGAAGTAGAAAAAAACTGGTCCATGATCACCCAGGGAGTTTTGTGGCTTAGTAGGGATGCAAACTTGGATTTTCTGAATCAGACCTTCTAACCACTCAACCACACTGCCTCTTGGAAGTTCCCACTTCCTCTTTCACTCCCTGCAACCCCCTCCCCCAACACTACCACCAGTGTTGAGAGAGAGAAGGGCTGAAATTGTAAAAGAAAGAGAAAAGTCTGAGTGCTAGAGAATATTAAGTTTTATACCTATATGCATAAAGCATTTTTGCAGCTCTCGGACCAGAAGCATTCTGCTGCCAAACCCAATAAAACAGGGGGAAATCAGCTACGCAGAACCAGATGGCATTCCAGTCAAACCTCCGAAACCTTTGGGGTGGAAGACCTACTTCAGGTAACCTGGGGGAAGATACAGGTTTTGCACGCTGTGAATAAAACACCAGCACTCATAACAAATAACCTGAGGCGGGGCTAGACAGAAAGGCAACCTAATATCTCCTCGCAGATTCCTTCATGAGTGACTACTTGCTGATATGAAGATTGTCTTTCCCTTCCTCCTTGTGACTCCATAATAGCCATATGCCTTGCCTATACCCAGAATGGCTTTGTTTTCCCAAGAACCCAAAATATTCTTTCAACTGCTCTAGACTATTCATTTCTGCGCTGTGCTGCTACAGATATACCAAACTCAGATACTATGCACATATCACTTTAGTATAGACCAGTGGTTTTCAACTAGTGTGCCGTGGCACCCTGGAGTGCCTCGAATGATGGTCAGGGGTGCCATGGGCAATACTGGCCTCTGTCCTTCCCTCCTTTGATACCCTCTCACATCTCTGCCTCTCAAAGGCTTGTGTGGCTGTTTGTTGCAGCAGCCCTGGATACAAGCTCCCCAGGAGAATGGTGCCTCTGGGGCTGGCCAGGGGGTGCTGGTTGCCAGGGGCTGGGGTGACCTCAGAGTAAGCAAGCAATTGGCCGAGGGAGCCTGCCCAGCCAGTCCCCTCAGCCTTTGCTGTTGGGAATGGACAGACAAGTCTCAGGTCCCTCTGGGGCAATATGAGGAGGTACCTCTCTTTGGGGCAGGGGGGTGCAGCTCAGAGACTAGGGACAGCAGCAGCTGCTGCCCAGAGGACTCTCAAGGAGAGGAGGCTGAGGAAACACTCCCCAAAGGAGGGTGCTCAAAAAAGCATGTGTTATGTTTTCAGTGGTCTGTGTTTGCCTGAGCTTGAGTTCTAGACTAAAGACTCTGAGCCCCTATGTTCTGATTCGATGCATGATATCCAATCACAGAACATTTCAGGATTTGGGCCCCTGCCATTGGCCCTTAAACTCTGAGTTATCATTTGCAGCTTGGGAGTTTAGACAGCCAGTCACATTGAGAGTGGGAGTGGCCCAGGTCTTTAGAAATGTATATAAGCAGTTGCTTTGCCCCTGTTGTCCAGTTCTGTTAGTTCAATAAAGGTTCTTGCTGTTATTCTTGTGTCCTGCTTCGTGGGAACCCACCTACACTTCAGGTGAGAGCCTGCCAGCTCTGCAAGCAAGAGGTGACATAACTGGGCTCCTGAGCCCCACAGAAAGAAGAAGAAGACGACGACGAGGAGGAGTTTGGATTTGATATCCTGCTTTATCACTACCCAAAGGAGTCTCAAAGCGGCTAACATTCTCCTTTCCCTTCCTTCCCCACAACAAACACTCTGTGAGGTGAGTGAGGCTGAGAGACTTCAGAGAAGTGTGACCAGCCCAAGGTCACCCAGCAGCTGCATGTGGAGGAGGAGCGGAGACATGAACCAGGGTCACCAGATTACGAGTCTACCACTCTTAACCACTACACCACACAGAATTTAGTTGGTCAGTGAGCCGTGGACTAAAAAAGGTTGAAAACCTCTGGAATAGACCAATTTGTTTTTGAACTTTCAACCTTGATTGAAGGAGCTCTTTCTGCATATCATAGAGTCATGGAGTTGGAAGGGACCCCACGAATCATCTAGTCCAACCCCTGCACCCCCACACCACTTTGCATAGGATTCTGGGAGATATTCTAGGGCCCCATCCTCACCATACACTATACATTCTTTGGCTTCTCCCAAAGAATCCTGGGAACTGTAGTTTGAGAGTGATGAGAGTTTTCAGGAGACCCCTATTCTGCGATTCTCACAGCTCTGAATCAGTGGCCATCGCTGCCTCCTGAGGGAGCAAGTTCCATAGTTTAACTATGCACTGAGTGGAGAAGTATTTTCATTTATCTGTTCTGAATCTTCCAACATTCAAAGTGCCTCTCCAGTTGGCAGTAATGTGGTAACATTGGGGAAGCATTACAAAACAACTAAGAAAGCAGAATCCACACTAATACACTATCATTGTTGCAATAACATCTTGTAGACCCCTCTCCAGTAGCCCACAATCCCCTACCTTCATGGATTGACCAGTCAGAAGACACCCAAAATGCAATAATTTTTGGACTTGCTTCTTAAAATCCACTGGGAAAATCGTATCTGCTGCTATATCTCATATGTTTTTTTCCTGTATTTCAGACTTGACTGATTGCACACAGATGTCTTTCAAGCCCTGTAGTAAAGTGGTGAATCAAGAACTCTCTCCTCTCTCAAAATTCACCCAAACAGCCAATAACCACAACCTTTACCATGAAAAAAACCCCAACACTTCAGATTTAAGCAAAAGGAATACCTTGCATTTTTTCCTTTTTAAATAAAAGAAAGTTGGAATCACTCAATGGACTTGACTTTCATTTTTACAAGGCCTTTTCCCCTTCTTCTTTCAAAGCATCCCAAGAACAGCTGCTTCGATGCACTGGAAAACGCTTTGGGGATCAGGGACCTGATCCGGCAAGGCCTTTCCATGAGCAGCTCCAAATCCAGTTTGCCGCCTCAGTAGCCTAGCCAAGCTTCCTTGACAACTCCGTTCGTCAACCTGTTTTCGCTTGCTTTGCTCCTCTCCCTTTAAAGAGCAGCCGAAATGCGTAAATTGAGCAGCTAGGATATTTCCTTCCTAGCACTTATCTCCTTGCCTCTGCCCCCATCAAAGCTTTATTCATTCATTTCCCAGAATGGTTTAACAATCAATCCTGGGGAACCCTGAGAACACTAGCTCTGTGCGGAGAACAGGAGGTCTCCTAATAACTCTCAGCACCCCTCCTCCTCCTCCTCCTCCTCCTTCTTCTTCTTCTTCTTCGATCATTCGTAGCCAAGTAAGATTGCCTTCCATAAACATAGTTTTAAAAGTGAGTCCATAAGTGATTGTGGAGGCCAATTCTGGATCCACACGTCCTTCCACAGTGGGGACATAAGTTTCCGGGTGGGAGTTTTTCAACCCTCACAGTGAGGGTTTTTCAAATGTGCCTTCCTCTTAGCACATTTCTCCCTTTCGTCCTGAGTTCAAGCTTCTTCAAAACCCATTACACCTTCTACTACAGGACCTAGGAGTCTTCAGGGAAAGCCATGACTGTATGATACTGCTTTGGACGTGTGGTACAGATGGTGCCTTGCTCACTTCCATCCCATTGGAGCATGCTCTGTTTGAAGCTACCCTTGAAAAGTGCTCAGAAAATTAATTTGGCTTAGAACAGCTTTCCCCAAATTTGAATCCCAGACGTTGTTGTACTACAAATCCATGATACCCAGGGGAATGTTTGGAGTTGTAGTCCAACAACATCTGAGGGCCCCGGATTCAGAAACGCTCTAAGCAGATTATCATCTAGTGTGACCCATTCAGACAATATTGCCTCAGCGATGTTCCAGGTTCACTGGCTGTCTAATGGTTTTCAGGCCCGATTCAAGGTGTTGCTCTTGACCTTGAAGCCCTGTGTCCCCCTCCCTGAGAGGTTCAGAGGGTGACAATGGGCTTTTTCTGTGGTGGCTCCCCGTTTGTGGAATGCTCACATGGCTAGATGACCCCCAGAGTCCCTCCCAACTCCACCTTGCCAAAAAAGGTCCGTATAGTTAAAGCTATGGTTTTCCCAGTAGTGATGTATGGAAGTGAGAGCTGGACCATAAAGAAGGCTGATCGCCAAATAATTGATGCTTTTGAATTATGGTGCTGGAGAAGACTCTTGAGAGTCCCATGGACTGCAAGAAGATCAAACCTATCCATTCTTAAGGAAATCAGCCTTGAGTGCTCACTCGAAGGACAGATCCTGAAGCTGAGGCTCCAATACTCTGGCCACCTCATGAGAAGAGAAGACTCCCTGGAAAAGACCTTGATGTTGGGAAAGATTGAGGGCACCAAGGAGAAGGGGATGAAAGAGGATGAGATTGTTGGACAATGTTCTTGAAGCTACCAGCATGAGTTTGACCAAACTGCGGGAGGCAGTGGAAGACAGGAGTGCTGGCGTGCTCTGGTCCATGGGGTCACGAAGAGTCGGACACGGCTAAATGACTAAACAACAACATAAACATCTGGAGGCCTACAGGCTTGATAGACCTTCTCCATCTCTCCCTTCCTTCCTAGTGGGCTGCAAGGAAGATGCAGGTGGCTGTCTGCAAAAGTCTGAACTGATGGCTTGCAGAGTTAACATTAGACCAAGGGCCACATACTTTCTGGTAGCCACTTCTGGCCATGTGCCACCACCTGAAGTCCACCATACTGAATGGCCATGCCAGAGAAGCAGATCACCTCTCCCTTGGTCATAGCCTTGTTACCCTTTCTCTCCTTCTTGCTGTGTGGCACACTTTATAAACAGCTTCTCTAAAAGGGAACACCAGAGCCATGCATAATGCATTCTTGATCTTGTGAGAGCCCCCTTTCCTCTGACATGGGTTGAAGTATGGTGCTGATAACGCCAAGGTTGCAAGTTCGATCCCCATGTGGGACAGCTGCAAATTCATGCATTGCAGGGGGTTGGGCTAGATGACCCTCGGGGTCCCTTACGACTCTAAAATTGTATAAGATTCTATGTCTCCCCTCCTTCCACCCTCCCTTTTTTCATCTACTGCATTTTAATGAGATGAGCCAGTCACGTCTTGTATGGATTGCATTGCCGGTGAAACTAACAGAAGCCTAAAATGAATCAGGCAGTATATGATTTGTGTAATATATATATATATATATATATATATATATATATATATATACACACACATACACTAAATACCAAGGGATGGAAGTATAATAAAGTAAGAATTCTATAAAAGTTTTATGATTTTAATACTTTCTGCTAGTAAGTTCCATTTTTCTGGGGGCTCAGCCAATTTTCCTGGAATACAGTTTGTCTGACAGCTGAAATCGGGGTGGTTTATTATTGGTGTCTTGTGTTTTTTAAAGACCCAAGTCTGTGGTGCAAAGAGTAATTCGCAGCGGCAGAATAAAAAGTGTTTGTGGAGGGGGAGCGCTGGGGCTTTAAAACCAACCCCCCTTTTCTGCCCCTGATGCCACTGCAGCCCGGTGAGAGACACAAGCAAAGCACAGTGTTGCAATCTTGAGGTTCGAGTTTCTTCAAATCCATTTGCATGGCTGGTTTTAACTAAGTAAGTGCATCCCATTGTATCAGCTCAAAGCTTGTGGATGCCTTCCAAAGAGCACAAGAGGAAGGGAATTATTACTGCAAGACTTATGAAGAGTCTGGTACGGTGGATGAAATCAAAGTTGTGTGGGTAGACAGAGGACAGTAATTATAAAAATACTGATTTACTTTGTGGAGTTGTTCTGGGGATTATAACTAATACAAAGCACACTGAATGCTTCAAATCAACATATAAATGCAATGAAAGTTTGGGGTCCCTTTGAACAATGTGGAACAAGACACAGGGGGCTGTTTTGAGGAGGTGACAAGAGATTTTCTATCCACGAACTTCCTTAACTTAATCTATTTTAGGTTCTAAGCCCAATTTGGGGCAATTCTCCCTTCCCCCAGCAGCCCCTTCATCCACCCCTCATTTATCTATTTTTCATTTTATTTGATTATTGCCTTCATTTCCCACCTTTCCTCCAAGGAGTTCAGGGTGGTGTACACAATTCTCCTTGTCTTCACAACAACCCTGTGAGGTAGGTTAGGCTGAAAGGCAGTGACTGGCCCAAGGTCACCTAGTGAGCTTCATGGCTGAGTGGGGATTTGAACCTCGGTCCCCCAGGTCCTGGTATGATGCTCTAACCACTACACCACAAAATATTTGTGTGTCCCCCCCAAGTTGATGGGCATTGCCATTCAAATGGCATGTGCTGTGCCATGTCATGTGATCAGTTATGTAGGGCGGCACTTACCTGTCGTCCCCTGCCAATATTTTATTCAAGTTGGCACCCCTGGGTGGGTGTTTTTATTTGTGTGTAGGGGGTGTTTTAAATTGTTCCTAAGTGTTATATGTACATTTGTATTTTGTATTTGTCTTTCGGTTTTTTTACTCTGAGGGCAAGTGAGGGAATAGTGATGGCTGCTGCCCTCACTTCCCTTCCTGGTAGCCTAAATGGGTGGCAATGTGGCCCATTTTGGAATGCTGGGCCTTGGCATCTGCCCAACATTTCCAACCCCTGGCATGGGACCAGGGTGAACCATCCTGAGATCGTGTTATGAAGGGTGGTATATAAATATGATGGTGATGGTGATGGTGATGATGATGATGATGATTTATTTATTTATACCCCACCCATCTGTCTGGGTTTCCCCAGCCACTCTGGGCGGCTTCCAACAGATTATTAAAATACAATAGACTATCAAACATTAAAAGCTTCCCTAAACAGGGCTGCCTTCAGATGGCTTCTAAAAGTCTGGTAGTTGATTTTCTCTTTGACATCTGGTGGGAGGGTGTTCCACAGGGTGGGTGCCACTAACAAGAAGGCCCTCCGCCTGGTTCCCTGTAACTTGGCTTCTCACAGGGAAAGAACGGCCAGAAGGCCCTCGGCACTGGACCTCAGTGTCCGGCAGGACGATGGGGGTAGAGACGCTCCTTCAGGTAGACTGGACCGAGGCCATTTAGGGCTTTAAAGGTCAGCACCAACACTTTGAATTGTGCTCAGAATTGTGCTCCGAAATATAAATATAAATATAAATATAAAATAGCACTCAAGGCCATAGAGCAAAGGCCAGTGAGAGATTGGATCCAGGAAGAAAACGTGTGGTCTGGGGAGTGTATGATGCTTGGACCAAATCTGGAGAGCCAGACGAAAATTCCTGGAGGGCCACAGTTGACCACAGGGGCTTCCCACTCCTCTTCTAATGTAAAAGGTAAAGGTAAAGGACCCCTGGACAGTTAAGTCCAGTCTAAGGTGACTATGGGGTGTGGCACTCATCTCGCTTTCAGGCGGAGGAAGCCGGCGTTTGTCCACAGACAGCTTTCCGGGTCATGTGGCTAGCAGGACTAAACCGCTTCTGGCACAATGGAACATTGTAATGGAAACCAGAGCGCACAGAAATGCTGTTTACCTTCCCGCCACAGTGGTGCCTATTTATCTACTTGCACTGGCGTGCTTTCAAACTGCTAGGTTAGCAGGAGCTGGGACAGAGCAATGGGAGCTCACCCCGTCACGGGGATTCGAACCACCAACCTTCTGATCGGCAAGCCCAAGAGGCTCAGTGATTTAGGCCACAGCGCTACCTGTGTCCCCTTATCGTCTAATGTTTCATCCAAGAAAGACCCTTCAAGTTCACTTCCCGTTTTGCTCTGGCTGGTGTGCTGGCAGTGACTCTAATCCAAATTGCATTAAATCGCAAAGGCACCATGGGATGAAATTGCCAGAAGAGCAGCGGGATCTGCCATGTGAACAACAGCCCTCTCTGAATTAGGCTGAGCTAAGCCCCAGAAACGGATGCATGAGTCTGTGCGCACCGTGTAGGCTGATTTCGACGTGATGCACTAATTGTGGTGCCACCTGTGCTGGCTGTCTGTTAACCCTGTTATAAAAATATCACAAAATCATATTTTCCAGCTTTGCCATTGCTAATTCGTCAAGCAGCTGGGTTTCCACATAAAACTAAATGAGACCATTTCTTTGTACCTTGCCAGTCCTCCAAAATAATAATAATAATGTGTGTGTGTGTGTGTAAAATATCACATAGCTGAATGCATGAATGTAGTTAAATAGCGGGCAAGTAAGCCTTAGGAGGATGAACTATTTCATTCCCTCCAAGTGTCCCAGTTTTCCAGGGATAGTCATGGAATTACAGAAGCTATCCAGGTTTCAGTTTGACCCTGGAATGTCCTGTTTTCCCTTTTTCCTCTCCTCCACATCTCAGAGAACAATTAAAAGTGGTGCATGTGTTTCTGCAGGTGCAAAAATGTTTACAGTGCTTTTTTTCCCTTAAAAAAATGTTTAGGGGTACTCTCATTTTGACTCAAGAAAATCACCATTTTGTAGTTCAAATCGGGAAAAATAAATACAGTAAGCAGACAAAAGTACAAAGATTCACAAAATGTTTAGGGGTATACGTCCCCCTGCGTCCCCCCAGAAAAAAAGCACTGCCTGTTTATAATGAAAATATCTGCACTGAATGAAGGAAATGGCGAAGCTGGCGTATGAAGCCCTTCCTGTAATTTTGAAGGAAAAGGTCACCAATTCGCTTCAAATTCCTTAATTGCAATGCTTCAGGAGCCAGCCCTAATACACTCCCTTTTAAAATGTTGTTTTCAGGAATGTGTGCATTTTAATGTGCAATTTCCCACCATAAACACATTTTTGTACACGTTTTGGGTTGGAGAATGGCATGAAGAAATTTGGAGTACTGCTGCGAAAATATTACTGGAGAAGAATTGGAAGAAACAAGATTTACCAACTATCAAAGAATGGCAGATGAAGATGATGGACTACAGTGGTACCTTGGGTTAAGAACTTAATTTGTTCCGGAGGTCCGTACTTAACCTGAAACTGTTCTTAACCTGAAGCACCACTTTAGCTAATGGGGCCTCCTGTCGCCGCCACGCCGCTGGAGCACAATTTCTGTTCTCATCCTGAAGCAAAGTTATTAACCTGAAGCACTGTTTCTGGGTTAGCGGAGTCTGTATCCTGAAGCATATGTAACCTGAGGTACCACTGTATATGGAACTTGCCGAACTGACTGGGAGACTCCCGGGATCAGCGAGAAGAGACGATGGAAGAATCTTGGAAGAGGTTTAAATAATATTTTTTTTAAAAAAATGTTAATATTTAAATCTTAGAATAGCTTTGGAAGTGGATATCGGCTGTAGGGTTAGAAGTAGAAGATAGTGTATTTAAAAATAGTATTATTTATAAGGGATAATATGTGAAGATTTTTATTGTAAAAGTAAGTGTGACAGAAAAGAAAATGGTTAAAAATTATGATATATGTAAACTGCTAAAGATGAGGTAAAATGAAAATCAGATAGCGGGGACTTGGGGAAGCTCACCTAACAAAGTTTAGAAAAAATAAGGACAAGAAAGGTCCGTATAGTAAAAGCTTTGGTTTTCCCAGTAGTGATATATGGAAGTGAAAGCTCTACCATAAAGAAGGCTGATCGCCGAAGAATTGATGCTTTTGAATTATGGTGCTGGAGGAGACTCTTGAGAGTCCCATGGACTGCAAGAAGAACAAACCTCTCCATTCTTAAGGAAATCAGCCCTGAGTGCTCACTGGAAGGACAGATCCTGAAGCTGAGGCTCCAATACTTTGGCCACCTCATGAGAAGAGAAGACTCGCTGGAAAAGACCCTGATGTTGGGAAAGATGTTGGGCACAAGGAGAAGGGGACGACAGAGGACAAGATGGTTGGACAGTGTTCTCGAAGCTACCAGCATGAGTTTGACCAAACTGCGGGAGGCAGTGGATGACAGAAGTGCCTGGCGTGCTCTTGTCCATGGGGTCACGAAGAGTCGGACACAACTAAACGACTAAACAACAACAAGGACAAGACAAGAATTTGTTTTTATTGATTGTTTTTCTGTGTGTGTTATTTATTTGTGTTATAAAATGAATAAAAAAAATTGGAAAAAAGAAAGAAATTCGGAGTACTCCATGGAGGAGACGAATATCAACGGCTACTAGACTGGTGGCTACGCTCTTTCCTCCACAGTGGGAGAAAGCAATACTTCTGAATACCAGCTGCTGGAAACCACAGGCGGGGAGAGGGCTCTTGTCTTGAATCCTGCTTGCGGGTTTCCCACAGGAATCTAGTTGGCCACTGTGAGAACAAGATGCTGGACTAGTTGCCTATTGGCCTGATCCTGCAGGGTCTTCTTATGTTCTTTTGTCACTTTCAAAGGAAATCTATGTTTCAATTCACGCATTCTTCCTGGAAGCCCAAATGAGATAGAGACTCTCCTCCCTGTAAGAGAGGGGAGTGGTTGTGGGCGGTTAGCCCCCTGCCTCCTCCTCTCACCTGGCTGGCGCCCACGCCCCTCGGCAGGCACCCAACCAGGTGCCTCCGAGGGGGCGTTTACAGCAGCCTTTTGCTGCGGCGCCAGCCTCTCCTCGGCCTCATTCTTCGCCGTCGTCTCGTCGTGAGTCACCCACCCTCCACTCCCTTTGAGCTCAGGGTCTTAGTTCATTGGCCTTGCTATGGACCTTAGGTTGGTCGCCCTGGTTGTCCAGGGGGCCTGGTAGGAATTTTTCCATTTGGCATTAGGCTTTTTGGTTTTTTCGCCTACCTCGTAGCAATCGTCACAACCTTTGTGGTATTGGTGGGTAGGTTAGGCATTGGAATAATGTGTTGTGGTGTGTCGAAGGGCTAGGTGTGGCCATCGCCTATGCCTTCAATTTTTGGGTATTCCGTTAAAGGAATCTGGCAGTCGTTTACTCTGTCCGATGCCTGCTTGGCGGGAGGCCATGGCACGACCCTCGGTGACATCAGGGGAGAGCCTATAGTTGGATTAGCATCAACAGGCTCCACCTACTGGTGAATAAACCCCCTTGTTTTAGACATCCAATGCCTAAGCCAATACCTTTTCACTGCTGTAATCAACAAAGTTGTGCCCTTTTCTTGCCCATTAACCTTATATCACGTGTCCTTGCGTATTCATTTCACATTGCAGGGGTCGGGTCCTCGAACCACAAGTTCTTATTCAAATGTGGGCCAAGCCAAATTTCTCCCCCCAACCCTAACTGCAGAAATTGAAACAACAGGTTTATAGCGAAAATGTGCATAATACACTCCAGTCGGCAAGCACACACCCAAGCCATGTGGTTACAGCTGTTCCTGAAAAAGGCTTGGGTGGAAGCCAGGGGAACAGACAGAAGTGAGAGCAGAAGAAAATAAGACTGGGGAAGATCAAGGAGAGCTTCTGAACTCCTGCATGGAGACTCGTGATAATCAACTGGAATTACCCATGATTCATCTGGAGGTGTGGGAAGCAGCTGTCTGAGATAATACTAGAATCTGCATCTGCTAAAAGCAAGGGAGGGGAGCAACCCATCAAAGGAACACTTTGTAGTTGGGCTTGAATAGAAGACTGAAGAAGTTCTGTAGACTGGCAGACTCGGTTCTCAAAGAGCGAAGGGGGGCCTCCCTAGGAAAGATGCCTTGGAAATGGCTAAAGGGAAGCTTGACCTCCTTCCTTCCTTCTAAGAATGGGCCTTAACTGGGTTGGAGATCAGAATGCTGGTCATCAGATCTTTTCGACCAGCAGCTATCTTCTAAAGCTCTTTGCTCCAGGTTCTTCAATGTATGGGCTATATTCCCTGCAACGCTGGAGCACCTCTCATTGAAGAAGCCTCAGGACTGAGCTCAGATTCCTCCAGCATCTTTGTGGTAACACATGTATCTCAGAACCTGGGACCTTCTACATACAAAGCAGAAGCTCTCTCTACCACTGAGCTATGGCCCTTCTTCCCGGTTATAACTTAATCAATTGCTATATCTTAATCAAGGATTAAGGGTGGGCAATGAAGAAGAGTGCCTTGGAAACATCCACACACAGATGGGATTGCATAGATCATACTGCAAGAGGTTTGGGGTCAATCTTGTTAGGCATAATTGGGACGTAATTACAGAAGAAAAGATCCCATTATCATTGACTGTGAGAGGATCATTTCAGCTGTACTTAAGGCTGGATGGTCAGAAGAACAGAACTAGACTTGTAGGACAAACATGTTGAGTAGTGTGTGTGATCTGAAATTTTCTGAATGGGGTCCTCTTATAACTTCTGCCATTATTATTTTTTACAATGTACAGATTCAGTACATTTTGAAAATAATCTTCACAGAAATTAAATGGTTTTACAGTGGATGAGCTTGGGCAGAAGTTAGATGAGCTAGGAATAATTAAGCCTCAGACCATAAGCTCATCACCACCTGGGAAAGGGAGAGAAATCCATCCTCCCCACCCTAACCCAGCCTGTCTCCAATGCTTTTATGGATATAACATTACAGAATTAACGGCCTGGACAGGATTTGCAACTTCCGCTTAAAGCATTTGGAGTGGAACAAATTCTGGGTTGACTTCACCCCTTGGCCAGATGGTCCATTGTTTGCTCAGATGACATGCCCTATATGATCATGGCTTTAATCCTGAAACACTTCCAGGCCCTTTCTGCACCTGCAGAGTGACCCAGGGCTGGCTGGTTCCCACTCCATCAGACGCTCAGATGTAATGCTTTATTATTCTTTTATTTCATTTTAAAAAACAAAAGAACATCTCCACTGCTGTTTGTCAAACAATACCAAGGCGGTGTACGAAAGGAGAATGACCACGGCTCAGTGGAAGGAAGGGTTGTGGCTCAGTGACAAAGCATCTGTCTTTGCATGCAGAAGGTCCCAGCTTCAATCCCCAGCATCTCAAGGTAGACCTAGGAGAGACTCCTTGCCTAATCCTGGAGAGCCACTGCCAGTCTGTGTAGGAAGTGCTGAGCTAGGCAGACTAACTGTCCGACACAGCATCAGGCAGCTTTCTAGGTTCTAGAGTGTGTGTGTGTGGGGGGGGGAATCCATATAAATAAAACTAAAAAGCAACAAATGAGCATTAAAAAATAAAGCAAGAGAGACTATGCCGAAATGGCAAAATTAACTGGGAAGCTTAGAAACCAAGAGGACAAGAACTTTAAAAAAGAATGGGGGGAAAATTATCATTTACGTACTTACGAGACCACTGTAAGCAGGTCAAAACATTAGCAGGATTTTAATCACACTTGTAAAGTAACAGAAAGTATGGATAATTTGGATGGTTAAAATTTGGATAAGTATTGATATGCAGTTGTAAATATGATGATTAGGACCCATGGAAGGGATGGGGGAAGTCAAGAGATTCAGAACAATCTCAAAATATGGATCTTCAATTATTTTTTATATATGTTTAGATTTGTTAAATATATATAGAGAGAGAGAGAGAGAGAGAAAGCCAAAGTAGACCTAGTTAGGATCACACTGTTCATGGGTCTGATTTTGTTGTAGTTATTCTTCAGCTGTGTACACACCATACACTGAAAGCACATGGCTTCACCCTAAAAGTGCTGGGAACTGTTATGGGTGCTGGGAATTGTGGTCCTATGAGGGGTAAACTACAGTTCCCATAATTCTTTGGGAGAAGCAGTGCACTTTATCTGTACCCTGATTGTATGCAGAATTAATCACGCTTGCTGCTTTGATTGCATATTAGATGCAGAAAAGTAGGAGAATACGATATGAAACTATAGAAAGTGGGAGGGAATGGTGACAACATCTGATAATCACCATTTTCTTTACAGTCCCCTTTTCATCATCACTGTGGAAGACAGAGGTTTGCAAGTCTTTGCCATGTCCTATGCAATTGAGTTGCAAGTTATCAGCAGCTACACTACTAGTGAGCACTGATCAGTAGGATGAATCTTACTTATATATTCTTGTGAAAAATATTGGGTACGTACCTTTCTTTATACACTTTGTTTTGTAAATTCTGTTTTACTATACAATGTGTATGCGGGTAGCTCAATTCTGTTATCATTCATTGGTTGTATGCTTTGTACTGTATTTTCAGCTGACTATCAGCTGAAGACTATCACGAAACAGTAGTATCATTCCGGAAACACTGTCTTTGAGACTTTTGGGATGTCTTCCACTGAAACTTTTGAAAAACTATTGAAAAAAGTTTACTTTTTAGACTTTCGAGACGTCTTCTGTTGTAACCTCTGAATAACCATTGTGAGACTGACCTTTGACTTTTGACACCTATCTTGAACACATGGCTTGCCGTTTTGCGCCACTAGTCTATTACATTGTATAAATGAACTCCTATTGATTTATTTCTACTTTTTGAATTATATCATTATTCTATTATATATGCTCTAACACTTATTAGCCTACGTGTTGTGTCTATATTCTGTGATGGATGTCCTCAGCATGGCAGACTTCCAGTCCTGTGTTGGCTTTTGGTTTACAAAGATCCCAAGAAGCTCAAGATCGGTGTATCTGCCAGCCTCGCAACACTCTTCCTAACTCGACGAAGATGCTTCACGAAGTGTGCACAACAGGGCCTGGAAATCACATGTTTTAATGGACAGCCATCCAGGTGGTGAAAAGATGTGCGGAGAACCCAGTGCAGCTGCAGAAATTGCTTCCTGCTGGTATTGCTTCCTGAACTCCTTTTCGATGGCTTGTTCCTGCATCTAACAAAGAATGTGGAAATCAGTTTTTAGGGGCAATTAATACATGCAGAAATAGTGCATGTAGTAAATTGTTCCTGGCCTTTATCATTTCAACCTACGGGTGGATAGGACTTCAATGGGTGGGTGGGTGTGCATCTGTCTGTTGATGATATTTGACCTGTTGCTGGCATCTATCTTTGTGTGGCAAGGCCCTGAACCCTCCCCCATTGTAGAATAAAGACACTTGACACCAGAATTTAGGTTAATGGGCTGAAAAGGGCCACAACTTTATTGGTTACAGAATGTGAGTGTTATTGGCTTAGGCACTGGAAACCACACGACTATATCTGACTACTGCCCACCTGCAGGGAGTCTAATAAGGGTTAACCATCAATACGGGGAGGCCTGTTGATGCACATCAACTAGGAATTCCCCCAGGGTCACCGACAGGAGTCGTGCTATGGCCCTGGCCCCCGTCTGGGCTTTGGACAGAGGACACCCCCCCCCGATTCCTTTAACAGAATACCCTTGAAATAGGAGGGGTAGGTGATGGCCGCCACCTCCCCTCCCTCCAACCGAATACTCCAATGCCTAACCACCAAACATTACAAAGTTGTGACGGTTTGCTACGAGGTAGGTGAAAAACCAAGTGGCTGGTGCCAATTTGCCAAGTGGGAAAAATTTCCTACCAGGCCCCTTCAACAGGCGACCAACCGAAGTCCATAGCAAGGTCAAAGGATAAGGAAGGGAGGGAGGGAGAACTGTGCAAGCAGGGGCGAGGTAAAAGAGAGTGAGAGCCTGGCCGCGGCTCGTTTAAATGGGCTAAGCCACTCAGCTGACCGGACTGGCCGATATGAAATGGTGCGACCAGGAACTCCCTGTGACGCGGAGCTACCTAGAAGAGTTTGGATTTGCTATCCCGCTTTGTTGTTGTTCATGTCCGACTCTTCGTGACCCCATGGACCAGAGCATGCCAGGCACTTCTGTCTTCCACTGCCTCCCGCAGTTTGGTCAAACTCATGCTGGTAGCTTCGAGAACACCATCCAACCATCTCATCCTCTGTCGTCCCCTTTTCTTTGTACCCTCCATCTTTCCCAACATCAGGGTCTTTTCTAGGGAGTCTTCTCTTCTCATGAGGTGGACCCTGAGTATTGGACCCTCAGCTTCACAATCTGTCCTTCCAGTGAGCACTCAGGGCTGATTTCCTTAAGAATGGATAGGTTTGTTCTTCTTGCAGTCCATGGGACTCTCAAGAGTCTCCTCCAGCACCATAATTCAAAAGCATCAATTCTTCGGTGATCAGCCTTCTTTATGGTCCCGCTTTATATCCCGCTTTCTCACTACCCAAAGGAGTCTCAAAGTGGCTAACATTCTCCTTTCCATTCCTCCCCCACAACAAACACTCTGTGAGGTGAGTGAGGCTGAGAGACTTCAAAGAAGTGTGACTAGCCCAAGGTAATGCAGCAGCTGCATGTGGAGGAGCGGGGACACGAACCCGGTTCACCAGATTACAAGTCCACCGCTCTTAACCACTACACCACACTGGCTTTACCTAAGCCCCGCCTGCATTGGTTGGGCTCATGATCTGCCCGCAATGTCGACTCCCTGCGAGGGGAATCAGCTTTCTCAGGGGGCATTAGAAGAGTGCTCCTTTGGGGCTAAAGTCAAACCACTGGAGAGTTGCAGCAACCACTGTGGCTGTAGACACTGGTGGAGAAAGAGGAGTGTCCCCCAGGACGCACTCCCTGCCCCTGAAGGCAGCGCGTCCCGCCCCCGCCTGCTCTCTACCCCTGGTGCCGGAGCATGAAGCTTTGCCACTGGCTGTAGAGAACGATATGAGAGAGACATGTTTCATTGCAGGTGGGGCAGATGAAAGCACTCAGTTTTGTTGCCACTGGTGCACCATGGTGTTTCTTCTCTGTGCTTCTCCCAGCTGTCATTCCTCCTCTCGTCACTGCCATGGATACACGACCTGACTTCCTGTCCCTCGGCACTGTGGGATTCCCTCATGGCGGGGTTGATGTTGACAGTCTTCATGTCACATTGAGGATCCTGCCATCTTCCGTTCTGTGGACATGACCAAACCAGCATAGACAGGCAGAAGTGTGAACATGCTGGGATTGTGGACTTGGGAGAGTGCATCGTTTGAGACTCATTCCTGCCACGTGAGGCCCAAAATCTTCCTGGCATGGTGCATACGGAAGGCATTGAGGCATTGTTCCTGGCAAGCGTAAGTTTCCCACAAGTCACTTCCATGAAGCAGCATGCTCAAGCATGCAAGCTTGGAAAACCTTCATCTTCTTGGGCATTAGCATCACATGCTCCCAAAACCTCTGGAGAAGGGAGCCATTGCTGAAGCTGCCTTGCTAATATGCTTGTGCAGCTCAGAGTTGATGGAGAGATTTCTGGTTATGGTTGAGCCCAGGTAGACAAAATTATCTACTATCACAAGTATGTAGTCTATCAATCTATCTACCTTGCATATTGTACATGGAGAAAATCTCTCTCTCTCTCTCTGCCCCTCTCTCCCTCTATTTGACTTGAAGAGCATCCTGGATAGCACATCAGACAAATGGGCCAAGTTCTGAGCCCTGCTGGATACTCTAATGTATCTCACTCCAAATACTCTATTCCCATAGTGACGAGTTACATTTGTCTTTGCAATACAGAAGCAGGAAGTTGAAGTCATTCAAACGGGTTGTTCCTGGATGCATTTACAAAGGCCCATAGCTGTTCTTACAGTAAGAGAGCTTAAAAATTATCCCACCTTCTCCGAAATCTCTTAAAGATGTTCCAAGCGACCTGGGCAACCTTTGAATATTTACACCACTTCAAAAATATTATGAAGTTAATAACAGGGAGCACAGCAACTCAAATTCACAGGGCTAAACACTAATTGTGATGTTAAATGCATTTTATTTTATTGCTCTTAGAGTGCATGTTTCAAATGGGTTTATTTTTTAAAAAAAAACTTTTCTATGCTGCCATTCATTTCAAAATTTCTAAGGGGTAGTAGTTACAATTAGGAATAGAGGAGAAATTCAGTTAGGCTCACACTGAAAAGTGAAGTGTAATAATTTATGCTTTCAGAAGCATGCACCGAAGTGCAGGCATTATTTAAAATTTGTACTTCTCTGAATTTTGCAATGCAGTTTTCCAGCCAATTGATGTGTACAGAAATATCTATACTAAGGTAAAGCATGCATAAAATTGCATATGTTA